GTTTCTATGCGTTTGAAAAACACTGGGACATCCTTCATGCTGCTGTGTTTCAACATGTTTATTGTGCAGCAATAGAGAAAATAACTCCTTCACATGAGTTCATAAGTTCTACATGTCTGGGGGTTTCTCTGAATAATGCGTAGGTGATGGATCTGAAGATGTTCAGACTCATTCAACAGAAAATTGTCATTCCCACTAAGGCAGATGAACATCTGCTGAGTAAAACTACAGCCATAATGTTTTACCAGAAACATTTCATTTTAGTCTGGAAAAAGACTTTTGATGGTGGGGGCGAAAAGTAATAAAAAATATATATATATGCTGAAAGGATTTCAAAATTTGAATAAAAAAATAAACTGGGACGAGGAGATTGGAATCTAAAAAAAGTCCATCCATCTTCTTCTGCTTATCTGTCTGGGTCACAGTGGGGCTGGTTCCTATCTCCAGCTGTCTATGGGCGACAGGCAGGCTACACCCTGGACAGGTCATCTAAAATAAAATCATCTGAAAAGCAGTTTAAATATTTCTTGAAAAGTTGAGACTCTGCTGATCATCTGTCCAAAGCTTTGATAATAAAGGTGGAAGTCCTAATCTTTCCAGAGAACATCAGAGCATTGACCAGTCTTTTATAGTCTGTGATGTCACAGCTGCAGGGCATGCTGGGAGATGTCGTTCGATTCTGATTGTATGCAGTTTGATCAAGACATGATTAAAGTGAAGTGTCCTTTCTTTTGCCTACATTATCTATATCTATGGTTTGATCAACACATGATTTAAGTAAAGTGCCTAAAATAGAAAGTCTTTCTCTTGTGTTTGTTTTTCCAGAACACCATCAGGAATATGTTGGAAAAGAGGAGGTTTTCTCGCAGCGGCGGTTCTCAGAACAGGAGAGGAATTCCGGGTTGGAACAAGAGGAACCAGAACCTCTGCAGATAAAAGAAGAGCAGCTAAAGCAAGAAGATCCCTGGACAAAAGAGGAGACCATGGAGATCCCCATAAGTGAGCAGGAGGAGCAGCTGGTTCTAAAGCAAGAGATTGGAGAAATAGAAGAGAAACCTTTTGCATGTTTGACATGTGGAGAAAGGTTTCTGAAAAAAGAACATTTAATGGTTCACATGAGAACTCACACAGGTCGGAAGACGTATGAATGTCAGTTGTGTAGAAAAAGCTTCACTCAAAAATTTCATCTTAAAACACATTACAGAACTCACACTGGTGAAAGGCCCTTTGAATGTCTGTTCTGTGGAAAAAAATTCATTTATAGAAGTGGTTTTAATAACCACCTGAGAATTCACACAGGTGAAACACCCTTTGAGTGTCTGTTATGTGGAAAAAGCTTCAATGATAAAAGTGATTTTAATAAACACATAAGAATTCACACAGGTGAGAAACCGTTCCACTGTACAATTTGTAACAAAAGTTTTAGTCGAAGCAGTCATTTGACTAGACACATGAGGGCTCACACAGGAGAGAAGCCTTTCAAATGTCTGTCCTGTGGAAAAAGATTACACGATAAACGCACTCTGAATAGACACAACAGAATTCACACTGGAGAGAAGCCTTTCAAATGCCCGTCCTGTGGAAAAAGCTTCAGTGATAAACGTGTTCTTAATCAACACCTCAAAATTCACACTGGTGAGAAGCCGTTCCACTGTACAATTTGTGGCAAAAGTTTTAATCGAAAAAGTATTTCAATTATACACATGAGAACTCACACAGGTGAGAAGCCTTTCAAATGTTTTTCTTGTGGAAAATGCTTCATTGATAAACGTGGTCTTAATCAACACATCAGAACTCACACAGGTGAGAAGCCGTTCTGCTGTATGATTTGTGGAAAAGCTTTTACTCATACAAATAATTTGACTGGACACTTGAGAACTCACACAGGCGAGAAGCCATTTGAATGTCAGTCCTGTGGAAAAAGTTTCACTGATAAATCAACTCTTAATAAACACGTCAGAATTCATACTGGCGTAAAGCCATTCTCCTGTACAATTTGTGGAAAAAGTTTTGCTCAATCAAGTAATTTGAATAAACATATGAGAACTCACACAGGTGAGAAGCCGTTCTGCTGTATGATTTGCAGCAAAGGTTTCAATCAAAAGAGTAATTTGATTAGACACATGATAACTCACACAGGTTAGAAACATTTTTCATGCATGGTGTGGAACGATTTTTATAAGATTGAAATAAGATTTCAAACAATAAATTAGACTCCACAGAAATGAACAGGGGAGACATTTTTCATGTTTTAGTGTTCATAAAATGTCCCTCTAGAAACTAGTTAACATGATTACACACAGAACTCAAACATTAAAGGCCCTTTTCTTGCCAAAACCTTTTATTAACAGCAGCAATCTACTGTTTATATGTAAGCTAGAACAGATAAGGTGTAATAATGCAAACCTGGTAAATATTTAAACTATGGAACATCAAAGAACTA